ATACCCTACACAAGGGCAAACTAAAAGTGGATAAAAGACTTAAATGTAAGTCATGAAAACATTAAAATCCTAGAAGAAACCATAGGCAGCAAAATCTCAGACGCCTCTAGTAACAATATGCTTTGGGATACATCTCCAAACTGAGGCTTTGCAAGCCACATGCGGCTCACGAGGCGCGGATTGCCGCTCTGTTGATGAATGAGTTTGCCGACCACTGGGATAAGGGCTTAATCACAAGGTACAACAACAGTCTGTAATTATTGGAATCAAGAGACTATGTCAGTGGTCAGCAAACTCATTCGTCAACAGAGCGGCCAACCACCACTCGAGAACCGCAATTTGCCGGCCACAGTCCTAGGGCAAAGGAAACTAAGGCAAAAATAAACAAATCGGATTACATAAAAATAAAAAGCTTCTGCACAGCAAAAGAAATCACTAAGAAAATGAAAAGGGAGCCCCACTGAATGGGAGAACATATCTGGCAAGATATATCTGATAAAGGGTTAATGTTCCAAATATAAAAGGGATTAATAAGGGCATGGATCACTGGGAGTCACTTCAGAATTTGGCCTAGCCAGGTTACAAAGATAAATACAAATGCAAAACTATATGATGTGTGCTCTATTATGTATAAGATATATTTCAATAGATAAAGAAAAACATTAAAGAGCTATAAAGATGTTAACATTTATTCTGCTAATATTAGACCTAGTCCTATCCTAAACTGTAAATAAACTGCTCAAAAACTATGAGTTCCAGTTTAGTTGTTGGTGAAGTTAGAAGCCATGAAGATTCCTAAGTTATGAGCCTATGATAGTCTGAGGATCTCAAGTGCTGCTTACAAAAATTCAACAGTAATTGGGACACTGGGAAAGCCTGTCAGAAACTAGATGCTTGCCCTTGATAAGATAGTCTAGTTCCATGGTCGTCAATCTGTGGCTCTTTGGCCCCTTGAGTGTGGCTCTTCCACAAAATACCACGGCCTGGGGGAGTCTATTTTGAAGAAGTGGCATTAGAAGAAGTTTTAAGTTAAAAAAAAAAAATTGGCTCTCAAAAGAATTTCAATCGTACTGATGATATTTGGCTCTGTTGACTAATGAGTTTGTCTAGTCTAATTAAAAGGTGGGTTGCTTTGCTTTTGACTGGAGTTACACCCATGCATGGAGCTAGCACTGGCATCTCAAATAGCCCACCAAACTCTAAATATGCACCTTAGAATAATTTTTCCTTGTAGGCAAATCATTTAACTAATACATATTTAACAAAATTTCATAGGGAAAAAGAACCCCTCCAAAATATAGGGTTCGTAAGTGAAATAATAAAAGGAGAAAAACTGTGAACTCTTCTAAGGCCAGGATAAAAAATATATATATACAAGATGGGCCTGAAATAACTGTTGTGCCAGGAAGAAAGTCATCAGTAAACAAACAAGAAAATGACAAGAGCAAGTGAAAAGGACACAGAAGACAAACCGAAAAAGTTCCTAATTGCCAAAATATTTTAAAAATATTTTTTAAAGATATTGAACTGAATTATAACCCAAAGAATGAAATAAATAGTCATGAGTTAATTTTGACAAATGAATGGGAAAGAAGAAAAAAATGCCAATTAACAAATGTCTCAAGAATGAGATATACAGCAAGTTATCAATAGAACACCACAGAAATAACTCCCACATGCAAGATCTACTGATGAATACTAAAATATTGGGTGAAAGTGTAAGCAGAAACGGAACGTTTATGTAGTCTCTGCATTAGTTTCCTGTGGCTGCTGTAATGAATTATTACAAATTCAGTGGCTTAAAACAACATAAAGTTATTCTCTTTCGGTTTTGGAGGCCAGAAGTTCAAAGTCAGTTACCACAAGGCCAAAACCAAGGTGCAGCAGAGTCATGCTCTCTCAGGAAGACGTGGGGAAGAATTGGTGGCCTTGCCTTATCTGGAGCTGTGTTCTTTAGCTCATGGCCCCTTCCTTTCTCCATTCTTAAAGCCAGCAACATGGCACCTTCAAATCTTTCTCTGCTTCCTCCTTCACACTGCCTTGTCTTCTGTAGAAAATCTCCCTCTTAAAAGGACACTTGGGATTGCATTTAGAGTCCACTCAGATAATCCAGGTAATCTCTTTTGATCTCAAAATCTTAACTTAATCACATATGCAAAGTTTATTTTGCCGTATAAATTAACATTCGAAAATCTGAAGGATTTGGATTTGGATATGGGGTGTTATATGGTCAGTGTTCAGCCGACCAGAGTATCAAAGTATGTCCCCAGAATAAATACAAAGATACAAATAACAAGTTTTAAAAATAAGTAAATAAAAATAATAAATTTACAGTGAAGACTCCTGGCAGACACCACTTCAACCAACTGATTAAGGTTAACATCATTAGCGATACATATCAGTATTATGTATCCCCTCAAAAAAGGTTAAGGCTGTTAGTAATGCATATTGACATGTAACCCCTTAAAAGGAATACCACATCATTTCTGTGCTACTCTTTCTAATGTATAACCTCATTCTAATCATACAGAAACAACAGAAAGACCCAAAGCTAGAGATATTCTAAAAAATATCTAACCAATGCTCTTTGAAAAGGGTCAAGGTCACAGAAGATATGAAAGACTGCAGAACTATCACCGAGAGAGGGCAACTTAATGAAATGCGGGATCCTGCACTGGATTCTGGAACAGAAATAGGACATTAGTAGAAAAACTGATGAAATCCAAATAAATTCTATAGCTTAGTTAATAATATTGTACTGCTGTTAACTTCTTAGTTTTGGTAAGTGTTCTGTGGTTACTTAAGTTGTCAGCATAAGTAAAGCTGGGTAAAGGTTATATGAGAACTCGACTATTTCTGCAACTCTTGAGTCTAAAATTATCTAAAAACAGAATAAAGAAACAAAGGGAGGGAGGGTTAAAGGGAGGATATGAGTGCTTTGTTTAGGGCAGTGGTTCTCAACCTTTCCAATGCCGTGACCCTTTAGTACAGTTTCTCATGTTGTGGTGACCCACAACCATAAAATTATTTTTGTTGCTACTTCATAACTATAATTTTGCTACTGTTATGAATCGTAATGTAAATATCTGTTTTCCGATGGTCTTGGGCAACCCTGCTAGTGGTTCTCAACCTGTGGGTCATGACCAACAGGTTGAGAACCGCTGCTGTAGAGCCTAAGACCATCGGAAGAACAGCAACTGCCATTTTCTTTTTAATTATGTTCAGCACATGCTCCAAAATGGTTTTCTTAAAGCCAGGCTCTTCTGCTCCTACTGATTCATGGTTACTTTCTTCCTCTAAAAATCTATCAAAAGCCTCAGTAGTTACTGAACCTGCCTTCTCTCCACAACCACTTGCTGGAAGAAACTCAAGACCTGTCAGATGCAAGCATACCACCCAAAGCTCCTCCTCCTGACCATCCCACTGGACACCGAGAGACATCACAAGGAGGGCAAGCCAGACAACAGAAATAAGAATAGATGCGGTAGCGAGACAGGGCCTCCTGAGGTATCAAAGATGAGGAAGTGTGAGGAATGCACTGAGTGTGTGTGTGTGTGTGTGTGTGTGTGTGTGTGTGTGCATGTATATATACATACACATATATGTACATATATATGTCTTACATAATGAAAGGGTAATATGCAAATCAACCGAATGGCAGAATGACCAGTGGCTATGACATGCACTTGACCACCAGGGGGCAGACACTCAACACAGGAGCTGCCCTCTGATGGTCAGTGCGCTCCCACAGGGGGAGTGCAGCTCAGCCAGAAGCCCTGAGCCAGGATCATATCGATAGTTGGCAAGAGCAGAGGCGGTGGTGGTGGGAGCCTCTCCCATCTCCACAGTACCACTAAGGTGTCCGACTGCCCAATCCCCATGGGGAGCAGGCCTAAACTGCCAGTCAGACATTCCCCGAGGGCTCCCCGCCTGGGATGTTGTGCACCGGTTTCTAGTATATATATAAGCTTTCAACAGCTAAAAGGATATTGCTTCAATCTGCACTTGATGATAACAAAAGGCCAAGAAACAATTGTCTGCCATCTGCATAAGCCTCCATAATAATGTTCATCCTTTCTTTCTAAAAGTCACTATAACTAATTATATCTATTCTGTAAAAATATAACACATACACTTATTCTTCTGAAAGTCATTCTTTTAATGTTAATAATATCCTGTACCAATGGATCAGAATTACCTGGAAGGTTTGTTAAAATATTGATTGCTGTGCCTACTCCCAATTTCTGAAATAGGACCAGAGAATTTGCAGTTCTAGCAAGTCCCCTGGTAATGGTGATGCTGCCAGTTCAGAGACTACACGTTGAGAACAACTTCCTTTCACTAACCCAATGTTTTTGATTTAAGAAATTTCCATGACACACACATTTCTTGAATATGTGCTACCCAAGATCAGTGGCATCCAACAAAATTTTCTGCAAGGATGGATACATTCTTTACAAAGTGCTATCTAAAATGGTAGCCAGTAGCCACATGTGGCTACTGTGCATGTGTGACTCAAGAATTAACTTTTTTTTAAAGAACTCATGGACATGGACAAGTGTGGTGGGTGTGTGTGGGGGAAGGTAGAAGAGGGCATAGAGGGGATACATGGAAATAAAATTAGGTAAAAAATTAAATTTAAAAAGAATTAATTTTTAGATTTTATTTAATTATAATTAATTTACATTTAAATAGCCACATATGGCTAATACCTACCGTAATGGACAGAACAGTTCTAAAGGCTCTTGAGGAGCCAAAGAAGAGAGGAGTGGGGAAGAAGACAACATTTACATGAGTATAAATGGCAAAAGTCAAGATTATGCACACAAGGTCTAACTGATTTAATTTAATCTAACAACTCTTTCAGTATTTTCTGTTGTGCTCAGAAGAAACCATGTCACATTAAAGGGTAGGAAGGGTTTTGTAACATCAGTGAAACTACAGCGCCTCAACCCATTTAACAAGAAAAGCAACAAATCATAGAGCTCATTCCTTTTTACCTTTTTTTCTCCTGGGAACGACAGTCACCCAATCAGGTCCGCTGGAGTTGATTGGCATTTTGATATTGACACCACTTAAAGAGGAATAAAAAGAGTACAGACTTAGATTCAGGAATAGTTATTTTCCAATATGTGTATTTACAAATAAAAAATGGATATGATTTCATAGAGGCTCATTAAGATTAAATATTCTCATAAATATTAATCAATACAATTAATAATTAATAACTAGGTCTCCAGAAATAAACAGGTCTTATAATCTGGATAGGAATTAAATTGATTAATTTTTCACTGCTTAGACTCACAGAAGGCTCACACTGATGATAATATCTTTTGTCACTACCTAGTTCCTAGTTCTCAGGCTGCAAGCCTGTGCAGCAGTAAGTCACAGGCCAGATTCCTAAGGCCTTGCCCAGAACTGAGAGGAGTCCTACTGTAGGCTCTTGGCCCCAGACATGTGCTCATACAGTATTTATTCATCATTACTATGGCTCTTTAAGATCTGTTCCCCTTACTAAAACATGAACTCCTTGAAGACACAGATTGTGTCTCCCTCACCTTTTGTTTTTAGTACCTACTCACACAGGCCCTGGTCTAGATCCTGTGCTTAGAACATATTTGATGGAGGGCTGTGTGAAAAGTGGGAGAGAATGGAGCCCAAGAGAAAAATATTGAAAACCAGGTGAACTCTTCCAGAAACTGGGTCACAATAATTAGGTCTTTTACACTTAAACCAAAAGCAAATTAAAAAAATAAAAGCCTAACTTTACAAACTCTTGATATGGGAACTTGCAGTCATGATTTTTTGTTTCATCAAAAGTCAGTTCAACAGAGATTTGTTTTTAAATAATTCTAAAACTTTACTATATGCCAGGCACTCCCAGATGCCAGGGATATAATAGTAAACAAGCTCCACAGCATCTCCTCCTTTTATGGAAACGGCATTTAATGGGGGAGATAGACAAAATAACAATGAAAGAAGTATAGGGGGTTACATTAGAGGATAACAAAATTTCATAGCTTAAGCCAAAGCCAGTTTGGCTCAGTGGCTGGAGCGTCGGCTTGGGGACTGAAGGGTCCCGGGTTCGATTCCGGTCAGGGGCATGTACCTTGGTTGCGGTCATATCCCCAGTAGGGGGTGTGCAGGAGGCAGCTGATCGATGTTTCTGGCTCTCTGTCTCTCTCCCTTCCTCTCTGTGGAAAATCAATAAAATATATATCTATATTTTTTTTAAATTTCATAGCTTAAATAAGTGACACTTAAGAGAGCATACAACTTTTAAAAGGGCACACATCAAGTTCATGAATTTAGAACTTTAAGGGAAGGAAACAAAGAAAACTTTACCTCTGCAATTTCCCTGTGAAAATGCTTAACTCACGCTAGTCATGCAGAAAAAATAAAGCAGCCAAAACCAGTTTGGCTCAGTGGATAGAGCATCGGCCTGCGGACTGAAAGGTCCCGGGTTCGATACTGGTCAAGGGCATGTATCTGGGTTGCGGGCACATCCCCGGTGGGAGGTGTGCAGGAGGCAGCTGATCAATGATTCTCTCTCATCGATGTTTCTATCTCTCTATCCCTCTCCTTTCCTCTCTGTAAATAAATCAATAAAATATATATATATATATATATATATTTTTTTTTTTTTAAAGAAACAAAACAGCAAATCCAAATTAAGGGACTTTCTACAAAAGAGTGACATCAAAATTCTTAGCACTGTAAAAAAACAAACTGCAGACCTCTTCTGGATTAAAGGAGATTAAAGAGACAACTAAACACATTGTACGTAAACATTGAGTCAATTAGTTGAGATAAAAAAGATAGCTATGAAGCATATTATTGGGATAACTGCAGAAACTTGGATATGGGCTACATATTAAATAATAGTATCATATCAATGACAAATGTCCAAAGTATGATAACTGTGTTATGGTTATATGTTGGAGAAAGCCCATGTTCCTAAGAGATACATATTCATGGAATTCAGTGCCATGATGTTTTCAGCTTACTCTCAAATGGTCTGGGTGGAAAAATTATACATAGACACACACATATAAACACACATACAAAGGGAAAGAGAGATAACATTTGTGGTAAAGCATTAACAATGATAATTCTAAGTTAAAGATATAAGGATGCTCATTGTTATTCTTGCAGTTTCTAAAGATTTGAAGTCTTTTTAATACAAAGTAAAAAAAAGAATTACAAATCATGCTAAGATAAAGGGAAGCTTTGTATGTGATAATTTCATTTTTTCAAAAGATTTTCCCTTGTATTAATAGGATCTTCCAAGCAAAGTATTGTTGTTGTTTTTCCAAAACCAATACTATTTTTTCCTTAAGAGTAAAAAACAAGCATTAGCTCACCTTATTTATCCATCGTTTAGGAACCCTAAGACCAAGATTAAGTTTCTTAATCCTTTTTGAATTAAGCAACATTATGAGCCACCAAGAAGAGAAGTAAAAATGGCTATCAGCTTACCATATTCAGGCCATAAGTTCAAAACAGTATACACAAAGATCTTTCAAGTGATCAATTTCAATCTTTCTCTTTCAGTTAGTTTGGTGCAAAGTTTCAGAATTTTAACAGGGTAAACAATGCAAAAAATAAAATCAGGACTCTGTCAAATATTTGGCACGCCATCTTAAATAATTTTTCCAGCAAAATCCCAGGTAAGTAGAATTTCTTTTTTTTTTTTAATATATTTTTATTGATTTCAGAGAGGAAGGAAGAGGGAGAGAAATAGGAACATCAATGATGAGAAAGAATCATTGATCAGCTGTCTCCTGCACACCCCACTATTGGGGATTGAGTCCCCAACCCAGGCATATACCCTTGATTGGAATCAAACCCTGAACCCTTCTGTCTGAAGGCTGATGCTCTATCCACTGAGCCAAACAGGCTAGGGCAAGTAGAACTTCTTAATGATTCTATTGCAAAATGCCATCAGCCAGCCTCACCCTAAATTTGCAAGAAAGGGCAGGGACAAATATTATTTTATCCTTTTGGATACACAGATGTATTGTTTGTTTGTTTGTTTGTTTGTTTTAGTGGTAATATTTATGTTAGACATATTTTAAATTTGACACTAATTTCATTCTCTAACCTTTCTCTCATCTGGAATCGAATAAATTATAAACTGTGCTTTCTCCTCTGTTAGGCCACTAAATAGATTGACAACATAACTCATAAATGAGCAGTTTTCATTCACAGACAAAAAGTGCATAGAAATAAAATAATTTGTTTATAGTTATCAATAAATAGCATGTCTGAGATAGAACACGGGATTAAAACTAAAGTTCTTTTGCACTTCTCAAAGCCAGCATAATAAATACATTGAGTAGTGCTCCCTCTACTGGCCTTCTAAAAGCATAGCATGAGTCCATCAAATGTGTGAGCAAACTTAGGAGCAGAGCAGACTCCAGAAGAAACTCTTAAAGACCACATACCTTTTGGTAGGAAATTTTACCACATCAAGTAATGACTGGACATAAAATATAAAATGTTTCAGGGTGTCCAATCTAATCAACAAAAATATCTCTTTACCAAAAAAATGTTTTAAAAGTATATGTTTTATTAATATTTAAAAACATTTATTCTTTCAAATAATTATAATTTTGATCATTAGCTTTCATAACTTTTTATATCTTAGAAATATTGTTTTATTTCAGCACTACATAGAATGTTGAAGAAAATATAAATTTTAATTCATACTAATTATTATGAATAACGCATTCCATTCTGCACATTAGTACATATATTAATCATTATGCTAAAAAAGTTTTATATTTGCCGAAACCGGTTTGACTCAGTGGATAGAGCGTCGGTCTGCGGACTGAAAGGTCCCAGGTTTGATTCTGGTCAAGGGCACGTACCTTGGTTGCGGGCACATCCCCCAGTGGGGGGTGTGCAGGAGGCAGCAGGTCGATGTTTCTCTCTCATCGACGTTTCTAGCTCTCTGTCTCTTTCCTTTCCTCTCTGTAAAAAATCAATAAAATATTTTTTTTAAAGTTTTATATTTACGCTCAAGAATATAAAACGGTTAATTTAAAATATATAGTTTGCTGTGGTATTTCCTGGCTTCCCATGTACATCATTAAATTAACCGAGTAATGTGGCTATATTCATAGTCTTCTTCCTACTAATAAATGTTTATATGATTTTAACAACTGATATGTCACTTCAAATTATTTTAGTTTAACCCTGGCCAGTGGCTCAGTTGGTTGGAGCATCATCTCATACACTGAAAGGGTGCAAGTTCGATTCCTGGTCAGGACACATATCTAAGTTGCAGGTTCAATCCAGGTAGGGAAGCCTATAAGAGGCAACTGATTAATGTTTCCCTCTCAGTTGATGTTTCTCTCTTTTCCTCTCTCTCTCCTCCTTCCTCTCTCTAAAAATCAATTTATAAAGAACACATATCCTTGGGTGATGAATTTTAAAAAGCTTTAAAATGTTATTTTAGTTTACTAGACATGAAGCTAAAACACTGGCCTGACCATAAGTCCTCTCATCAGCCCTGTTCTTGGATGATTTGTATATGTCCTATTAATGATCTTGCTTATAGGGCTATAGATGTGCTACCCAGTTCTGAAGTGAATCATAAATATGAGGGTAAAAAATGAAAAATCAAGGGTCAAAGGTCTTTAATTTGAACTGAAATAAATGCTAAGCTTCACTTTTAAAAAAACAATCACAAAGCATAAATCTATGTTTACTTTCTTATTCACCACCTCTTCTGAATTGGGCCAAGTTCAGAGGATGTAAGTAGCACATAATCAAAACAAGAACGCCTCCCCAGTGTGACAATGTGTCCTAAGGGGGACAAAGACAGTGAAAAGGGACCCTTAGGTCACCCCCCAGGACAGGAAGCTTGTACCTCTGGAAGAAAGCACTCTCTGCAGCGGTCAGGAGGCCCTTCTGGTAGCCACCTTTGAAATGGTTGATTCTGCTGCTGCAAGGGAGCTTCTTTGGCTTGAAGCAGAACCAGGGCTCTCCGGTGTACAGATCTGTAAAGTTACACAGGGGCAGGATCCGAGGAAGACACACGTTGCACTCGGTGGTTTCAGAAATTCTTCCCGAGCGAAAGAGACTCTTGAAATAGACCCTGTCTGGCTTCTCTTCCTGGAGGTGCTGAAGGACTCTGATCCCTTCGCTGGGGTGGACCAGAGATACGGACACTTTAACTCTGCCTGGCCAGAGCAAAGTGAAAAAGACCTTGTAAAACCCATTCTGGTAGTCCACCACTCTGCCCACAGCCCCTGCCTGCAGCTTAGGGGAGTGGATTCTGGCCTGCAGGTAGTCTCCACCATATTTCTTGGGCTGTCTTTGAAAATCCTGCACGTGAACCAGCACCTCTAGCTGGCTCCCCACCTTGAAGAAGTCCGCAGAGTTCAAGATGACAAAGTAGCTGGAAGAAGGGTCGCTGCTCTTCAAAAAGGGGACAGGGCCCACGTCAGGTATCTGCCACTGTAAGGCGGTCAGCAGGGAGTCCTCCTCCATGCGCTCCTGGCTGGACAGAGCCTGATGTTCATAGTCGCAGTAAGGATTCCGGCTAGTTCCTACCACCTGAGAGGAAACAAACTGTCCGCTGCTGTCGATGAATGTGGCTGAGACAGTCTCACGGTCCAAATACTGGAAAGAAAAACACAAAATCAGAAACCATCGCTACAATAAATGTCGTTATATTGAACCGAATAAATCTCTACTTCAGTTTAAATTTTAATATAACTACAGTGGAATGACAAAAAGCAAAGCTCACTAGTTGCACGGGGCTATGGTATTGTAACACAGTGAAATCAAAATGAGGAACAGTCACAGAGGGATCCCCACACTTCTGTGAGGTTTACCTCCAGGAGCTCAATCAGGTTCAAAAGTAAATACTGGAGAAAAATCTCCTCTGTGCTTCCAAAAGAAATGAAAAGGTATCATTCTGAAATGCACCAACCAGAGCACTGTGTTCTTATCAAGGCCTGACCTCAAGAGAAACTATTTACCAGAGGCTAACCCACTGGGGTTTTCTCAGAGCCTAACCAAACCTGGATAAGGGGCATGCCCAACTCCAGACCATTCTAACCATTCTGTCCAACGTAAGGAGTGTGGGGAGGGCTGAGAAGCACTGTTAAGTTCACAGCCCAGAGGCACAGGCTCACTGACTGACTGAGATTTAATCACAGGATTCTAAAATGCTTCACCTCCCCCACACCTTACCACCACTCCACTAAAAGCCTATTTGTAGGAGTTTCCCCAGTACATCATGTCCAGCTTTCAATAAAAAAATGATGAGCTTATACTAAAAGGCAAAAAAGACACAGACATATCAAGCATGAGAAACAGATTCAGGTACAGAAGGGATGTTGGAATAATCAGATCAGATACTTAAAGCAACTATGATTCATATGTTAAGGCAAGCACGTCAAACTCACAGCCCATTGGCCGCATGTCTTTATTTGGCCCGTGTTAGCCTTTGAGTTTGACATGCTTGTGCTAAGGGCTTTAATGGAAAAAGCAGACAGCATGCAAAAACAGATGGGCAATGTAAAAACAAAAATGGAAATTCCAAGAAAGAATCAAAAAGAAATACTAGACAGAGCAGAGAGGATTTTTAGGGCAGGCAAAATACTCCGTATGTCATTATAATGATTGACGCATGTCATTATCAGTTGTCCAAACCCACAGAATGTTATAATACCAGGAGTGAACTCTAAGGTAAACAATAGACTCTGGATGATTATAATGTATCAATGGAGGTTCATTCTTGATAAAAAATAAAAAAAAATGATAATAATGGAGAAGGCTATGCATATATGGGAGCAGGGAGCACATGGGAAATACCTGTAATCTTTCTGTTGGGTAAACCCTGCCAGTTGGTTTTTCCTTTACTTTTTTTGTAATATAAGAGCCTGACTTCAAATTTAATTGACCAAGCATTTTAAAGAGGCATCCACTTCAAAGATGGCTATCTAAACACACACACACACACACACACACACACACACACACACAGCCATGCCTCTCCCCAGCTTCCGATCTTTGAATTAGGTAACTATTTGGGTCACTTCTTTCCTCTTTCCACACTTTAAATTCTCACTCTTATGTTTTGAATTCACCAATAAAAAGTGCTAGACCTTAGCAGCTCACCCTTGACACCAATGAAAGTAGAACCCCAGGTCCGTAGTCTCTCTCTTTCTCTACCCACAACCTCACTGTATGGGGCCAGACATACAATATACCCCTGTCCTCTGTGACTTATGAATAATAAACCTTGTTCTTTTTTTCCAAGTTTCATGATGGTTATTGCTGTGTCCTGAAATCATAAGAACCACAAGGGCCAGCCCAGCCACAACACTGGTTATCAAAAACTGAGACTGGCACAAAACATTTCCTCTCTATTTCATTGCAAGCATAAAACTTCTCTAGGATATAATGTCTTTAAAATAAAAATTTTAAATTTAAAAGAAATGCCAGAGCTCAGAAACACTATAAAGGGCTCAGCTGCGGAAAGAATCTCTGAGCTTGAGGCTATGTCCATAGAAACTTCTAAAACTAAAAAGCAAAGAGGAAAAAAGAATGAAAAATGGGAACACAATATTCAAAAGCTGAAGGACAAATCTCCCACACATATACATTGCAAATTGTTGCATAACTTTTTTAGTACTTAACCCATGAAACAGCTGAGTTAAATTGCAAGAGGGGGGAAAAAAAAAAGACAAAAAACAAAAACAAACAAAAACAGAACAGTAACAACAAAGCAAAAATTACTCTCTTCAACAGCTAATATTACCTGTTACGACTTAAATAAGGCTCGGGCTCCCCATCCATGCCAAAACAGTTCAAAATACTTTACAATATAAAAATAATCCCACACAAGCTAAAATTACTCCCAAAACACAAGAGAAGTTTTAATGATCTTCTTGGACGCTATTATCTTAACTCTCATTTTCTTCCACAAAACTTTTACTTATGAAATTCAAAATATAATAATAACTGAACACAAGTTTTAATACAGAATGGAATTCTTTGTGGGGCAATACTTCAAAGTCAATGTTCTCTTTCTATTGCAAATGTTTGTCTTTATAAATCACTAGAAGCCTAGTGCACAAATTCATGTACGAGTGGAGTCCCTCAGCATGGCTGAGATCAGAGCCCATCGGGGCTGGCTGACTATAGGGATAGGAGCCATAGGAGGTTGGTCCACCAGGGGGAGGGGCTGCTGAAGGCTGGCTGGCTGGCTGGGGAGAGGGGCCACAGGAGGTTGGCCAGCCCAGGGAGAGACTAAGGGTGGGTGAGCAGCCAGGGGTAGGGGCTGCAAGAGGTTGGCCAGCCCAGGAGGAGGGGCCACCGGAGGTTCTGATCTGGGCGATAGGCGCAGCAGGCTGGCTGGGGGAAGGGAGATTATCTGTGGGAGCACATTGACCATCAGGGGGCAGTTCCTTCATTGAGTGTCTGCCCCTGGGTGGTCAGTGCACATAATAGCAGCTGGTCAACCAGTTGTTCTAGTTGTTCGGTCATAATGGTCACTTAGGCTTTTATATATATAGATTCTTACCTCTTGGGCTATACCAAAACAGGTCATGGGGCAGATTTTATACTTACATGCAGATATTTTCAAGTGGGAGGATTTTACTATTTCATGCAAATAGGAATGAAACAAACAAAAAAACTGGAGTACCAATACTACATTAGTAGGGTCTCTCCCTATTAATGCTTGGAAACTATTACATCAAACAAAATAGATTTTTAAACAAAGGTTATAAGAGACAAAGGACATTTTATAGTGATAAAGTGATCAACCCAACAAGAGGATATAACCCTTATAAACATTTATGTACCCAACATAGGAGCATATAATATATAAATTAAAAATTGATGGACAATAATACAGTTGTAGTAGGGAACTTTAACACCCCATTGCCATCAATAGATAGATATTCAGACAGAAAATAAACAAAGAATCAGTGACTTTAATTTACACATTTGACTAGATGAACTTAATTGTCACTTATAGGGCTTTTTACCCCAAAGCACCAGAATATACATTTTTTTTTCAAATGCAGAGGGAACATTTTCCAGGATAGACTACATATGAGGCCACAAAACAAAACTCAATAAGTTTCAGAAGACTGAAATCATATCAAGCATTTTCCCAACCACAATGGTATAAAACTAGAAATCAATTACAAGAAGAAAACTGAAAAACACACAAAGACATGGAGACTAAATAACATTTTTACTGAACAATAAGTGGGTTAACAATAAGATCAAGGGAAAACATCAAAAGATACATTGAGACAAGTGAAAATAAAAACACAACAATCCAAAATCAATGGGACACAGCTAAGCAATCCTAAAAGTTTATACCAATACAAGCCGGCCTCAAAACACAAGAAAATTTTCAAATAACCTAACCTTACATCAAAAGGAATGAGAAAAAGAACAACAAACAAAGCCCAAAGTGAACAGAAGGAAATAATAAAGATTAGAGCAGAAATAAACAAAATAGTCTAAAAAAATACAAAAGATCAATGAAACTAAGAGCTGGTCAAACAGATTAAAGCTCTTGGGAATCTCACAGGGGGGGTTACCATCTGAATTAGATGTTAACCCCAGAAGGCATGGTCTGGGCATTCTGACACGAACAGCAAAAGGAGCAAATGTCTCTTGGATTTTGGTCCCAACTCTACTATGAGGCAGAGATCAGATACACCTCCAGAAAGCAGCCATTTACTTTAAGAACATCACTCCCAATTAAGAGATGGAGAGAAAAATTATTTACCCACTTCAGCTCTTTTCCCAGCCTATACCCTGCAGAAATTGCATGCATATTTGCAACAGCACAGAGCTCTCTCCCACAAGTTCCTTGGGCGATGAGTTACATGCCATTCTAGGATCAATGTATTACAAGACCACTTCAGCCCCTACTGTTGAGCCCCCACAAGAGATGCCCCCATGAATGAAAAAGGTATTGTCCCCGTGACCAAAAAAAGCATGGAATTTTAAAAGCATAGCTACATGCCCTTTTGCAATCTTCCATTTTGCACAAGTGGGCAAAGGTCATTGCCAAGGCAGTTAGGAAAATAAATTTGGCCGATGCCAGCATGGGGTTCTATCCCTACCAATGCTTGGGAACTGTTACATGAGATATTCCACTGATCACATCAGTTAGAAAGCTACGGCCTGATGCCTTAACAGCAGAGCTGAAAAGGGGCCACGTCCACCACAATTGGGAGCTCCTTGAGACATTAAACCAAGGGAGGGGACACTTGAATGTGGGTTGGCTGGCAACTCCCCCCAGGTTGGATACAGTATTTCTTGCCACTCAGTCAGGAACATGGTCCCCACTGATTCTGCTGGAATCTGAGCATAGACATTGTGTATGACTACAATGGCCTGGCTGTGTTTGCTCCATTGGATGAACCATCCTACACATAGGCATGTAGTGGCTCCCATCCATTACTTGTCAAATAATGCACAAGATTTTAGATACTAAGTGGACAGAAGAAGAAAACAAATCTTTAAAGGCAAGTTTGACTCCTTTGACTCCCAAAGAAGGTATCTGGATATGTGGCTCACATATATGGCCTTATCTCCCTTATGGATAGACTGGTCAATGCACATTGGGCTTCCCTACTTTA